GCCCTGTCTGTGTGCAGCCAGGATTCCTCAAAAGCACAAAGCACTGAGGAACAGAGACTCTGCCAGTGGATGGGAGAGGAAAACACAGATACCTGGGATGGGAGAAGAGGTGTATGTCTGGAGAAGCAAACAGAGAGGCTGGGAAGTTTCCAGGAGGCAGTTCCAGGCTTGCTAACGTGTTCTCCTGGGTGCCAAATAGCTCTGCAGAAGTCTGGTTGCAGCAAGGRCTGCTAACAGATATAGCTCATGGCTCTATTCGCCTGTGACACACGAATGTGGTACGAGGAGCTGCTTGCAAATTGGATTACAGGTTTGGGAAGGTTTTTTTGTAGTGTGTTGCCAAGTCCTGGCTGTTCCCTCTCATCACCTACAGCAGGGAAACGACTCTGTGGGGACATTGCAAATCAACTACAAGGGTCCCCACCAGCACAAACAGCCAAAGCCTGACCCAAATGCAGGTGACAGTCKGACAGCATGAAGGTGACAGTGGCTGACAGCTGCACGAATTTGGTAGCCTGTCCAGAGGGACACAGCTCTCTGGATGGCCTTTTGCAATGTATGGAGGTAGATAAGCATCGGTGAAGATGAGTAACRATGCCACACAAGGTGAAGGAAAACAGCTTCCAGGAATATGAGGTATAAGAAGAACACTGAAAATAATGTCAGAAATAGTGTCTATTCCAGCCCTGTAGGTATCTGGCAATAAAAATGTATTGATTAGTTTACATTCTTGATAACAGATGCTAACAAAGAGAGCCTGTACTGGGCTGATTTTTATACTGAATCATGGCTTGTGTGTTGGAAGCTATTGAAAAGAAATTCCTGAAGTCTTATATTCATGTGGGCCCTGCTCCCATTTGTGCAACTGAGCCTCTCAATAGCAAACAGGGGGCCTACCTCCCTCTTCTGCCACTCATAAACACCAATCTACTTTTGTCTTGGCAAATTTCTGCTTCTGCTCTTCATATTCTTGCTCATCTCTCTTTTGTAGCTGTTGGCATTAAATGTGCCTTGCCTCCTAAAACTTGTGTGTTAAAGGAATCCTTTCCTGGCCCTTCCTGTGTTTGACCTCTTAGTGCTCACTTGCACTAAAGGATARTAGTTCAGAGTGACCTAAAGTGTGGTCAAACCATTCAGTGGAATGGAGAGCAAACAGCTCAGGCAGAGAAGGCTGGAGAAGCTATGAGATCTGTGCCATCACAGTGGGGAGATGTCTGCCCGAGTGCTGCAGTCTGTTCTWAAGCCCAGTAGCTTAAGCATGGGTGAACTTTTGGTTCATGACTTTTTATCAAAGCATATGTGCGTCTCAGAACAACCAACATGGTTCCCTGTCCAAGTTCTGAGCGTTGCAGCCAAATTTGGTAGTGTTTCTTCAAATTAAATCCCCACTGAAGTAAATTTTTATTCAGTGAATTGGTGGAGAAGCAGTTCACTCTGATTCATGGCAGCAGAAGTGYTTAATCCTGGCTSCTCAGCTSYTATTAACACCAGTCTTTCAGTTGCATTCACTAACATTTTTACTTTAATTCCTCTGAGGAATCTGTCTCATAGAYGCCTGAAGTATAAGCCTGATCCCTGTGTAAGGTGGGCTTCTGCTGTTTTGTAGGTTTGATGAGAAAAGCAGTTCTTTATGGGGTGATAAATTAAAGCTGCCTTCTTCCAGGTGTAGATGAATTGGATGGGTAGAGAAAAGTGGCTTTTTAATGCAGAGGCATGTGCTAACTTAAACAAACAAACAAGAAAAAGAACAACTAAATCTGGGCATGAATTATAGCCTGCTTCAGATTTCAGTGTGTCACGTTTTGAATTGAGCTGGAGTACCTATGGCTTTTTTAAATTGCATTTGAACAAAAGTAAATACAAAGAGAAAGAAACCAGGACAGCAAAAGCCTGCAGGAAATTCCTCTACTGTAAACAAAGTCACCTTATGATTGATGTGAATGTACAGCCCCTTGTAAACATGTCTGTTTACTTGCAGGAAACCAGAAAGAACCCACATTGGGCGCTGCTGATTTTATCTAGCTTTGCTTAAATGCTTTTGGCTTCCAGTAGTCACTCTAGAGGGAGCACAGGAATGATGGCTGCTCCCTGGAAAACSTGAGTGTACTGTACTTGAAAATCTGTGCCAAAGGCTACAGATGGGCAGAGCTTTGCAGGAAAGACTGATACTAACTTTTTGTGGTTGTCCTGAATCTCAACAGTGAAAGCTTATTGATAATGGATGTAAAGCATTATTTCTTTGCAAAGGAGCTCGGGTTTTCAGGGCACCTAATGAGAGAATTTTGTACCTCTAAAAAGGTAATAATATCCCTGATCCTACACCATGWGGTTTCTGTAGGCTCCCACTGAAAATTTGCTGTTCTAACCAAGATTATGCTGCTGAGGTGGATGAGTTTTGTGTTGATGGAAAATGCCGCATTGTTTGTGGGACATGTTGTTTTTCTTTAAGGTTTAGTCATAGCTGAGARTGAAATCCTGGCCATGGCAAAGTCCATGGGAAGCTTGTCTTAGCTTTTGGGGGGCTGCAAGTTATGGCAAGCAAGTCTGGACTTTTTTCTAATGGATATATCAGAGAATTTATGGGAGTTATCAATTGTCTCCTTCTCTCRCCATTATGAATCTTTGGTAAGGGACCTTTGTAAAAGGTTGGGTTTTAAAAAAAAGAATATATTTAAACACTAGSTAATATTTAGCTAATATTTAAACAGTAGCTATATTTATACATCAGCTAGTTCATTATTACCCATACATACAGTAAATCATTCCAAAAGCTCGAAGGGATCAGTGGTACCATTATCACATATTTYCAATTAAGTCTGTTCCTTAGCATAGTTTTTACTAATCTCCTCAGTACAAAGCCTATGTRCTCAAATTCCAGGATCATCCGTAATTATGTGTTTTAGTGAGCAGATATTTATGATGTCTAAAAATTTAGTCCGATGTCTTGATTAAATATGACATTTACTCACTCTTTGTGAACACAATCAGTCTTCCCCTACAATTATGTTTTCTATTTTTGCACTTTTTTTGAAAGTCTCTGAACATGTTATAATCAGGGTCATCATCTTGATGGGACAGCTGATAGAACAATCCCAGTGGTTCCTATAGAAAAGTAGTAATGTTTATGCACTGAGTTTAGACAAGAACAAAATCAGCTTTTAAGTTGCAGCTCTATAASGAGAGCCCAAAGCCTAAGTATTGGCTCTGAGACATCTGCCAAGTGCAAGAGTGATAACAGCCATTTCTGGTTCCCTTCAGGATAATGCCAAGTGTGAAATCTTYGCACTGCTGAAGTCAGTGATGCCAGTAAGGGTAATGAGCTAAAAGTAAAAGGGGAATTTGGGCTAAAYACAGGGAAAACTATGCATGCCACAGTTAATGTAAACAGACATRTTAGCTGAATAAATAGTCGTCTAGAGGCTAGTACAGATTTCTGTACTTAGAAGGGAGCTGAAKATCTGTAGGTGCAGGTGGTGTGGTTTGTGTGCTGAGGCAGAACCAGGCCCCTGAGCAGCAGCACTGGTGCTGTGTCAGTGCTGTTCCAGAGGCAGGATGCTCTCCTGGTCACACTGTGCCATTTTCTCACTACTGGCACTGCTGATCAGTTCTTTTACCTCTTGAATCCTGTGCTCTTTTGGTTTGTTAAGATGGAGAGGAAAGGACAAGAGGAGAATTTATGCCAGACTGAGAACAAACATTGCCTCATGTGGGTGGTTTTATACCTTGGAGGCCAATCCTTCAACTTTCTGACTTGTTTGCCCCCTACTTTATTTCTGATGGGAAAACAACCCAGAAGGATGTAAATCATGATGCAAGTCTGTCCACCCCGGGTAAAAGTGAGAAACTGGAGCAAAAGAGGCTGGCCACATGCAAAGAGAGAGACAGCAGAATGAATTTCTTCCTAATAAATTTGACACAGAGACTGGGAGCATGTTTACAAAACCCTATCGGAGAGTAGAGGAGGGTTTGTATCTTTGTTTTTTTAAAGYGCAAAATCAGGGCTGGTTTATTGGACCCATGGGGTTGGACAGYGTGTAGAAGGCCACCCATCTGGAAACCAGCTGATCACTGCTGAAACTTTCTTCCCAGGCTCTGTCCCTTCTCTGACAGGGTGCTGGGGTTTTATGAGAGGCTGACAGCAAGCCTTTTACAGACCGTAACTCCTTGTCTCAATAAAAATTGCTATAAATTAGCTGGAAAAAGGACCTGAGGGGATTGTCCCAATCTGGCTCAGGGTGCCAAGTACAAAGTCAGCAATTTTAACAGAATAATCTGAGTTTTCAAATCAATTGTGTTTGGGAATGACCTTTATGGGAAATGGGCAAGTGGAAGGTAGGAGACAGGGAGCAAGAGGAGGTTATTTCTAGATGTCAAAAGTGTAGACCAAGACCCTTCTCCCCTAAGACTTTCCAGGGTTTATAAAGGAAATCAGCTAGTCTTTGGTTCCCTGGGAGTTCTTATTTCCTTCAAGCTGAAGGCAGCTTCTRTATAAAACTTGGACCTGTGCTCTCAACCTGGATACCCGAAATTTTATAAGCATTCAGAAACTAAGCTTGCATGTGACCTTCACAGTGGATTCCATTTTCACAAAATCCTAAACCTAATGCATCTTGCAACACCCCATTCCCATCTGAAAGTGGTGCCACAGTAAAAAGATCAGTTTGTTCAGGAAATTAAGTATTTTGATGCATCGTAGACATKTAGTTACCTTATTAAATCCCCAAGCAGTGTTTGCAGGCAAGTAAACTGAATACTTTCTGATGAAAGCCATTTATGCCTAGCTGTGTTTTGGAGCTTTTGGAAGTATCAGTGAAATAGAAGGAAAAAAAAGCCTTTGAAAAGGATCAGAGAGCAATTTGTTTGGGCAGAACATAAGAATTGTCAGAGCAAACTTTTGTGGTGTACTTTCACAGGCAGACAATTTGGCTGTTCTGTTATACACAAGTCTCATGATCTGGATTTTTGCTTTCTACAGTTGCCAAGTGACTGAGCTGAGCAGTTGACAAAGAGGATGGAAACCCCTTGGACTTCTCATCTTGGAGGGAAGAGGACATCTCTGAGCAAATCAGGACAATGCTGGTTGTAAGCAGGGATAASTGCAAGAAGATAACTTGTAAGCTGGAGGACAGAAGGAGAGGAACACCCGGCCTCTTGCCTGGAGGTTCACAGCAGTTAGTGGCCATGTCCTGTTCAGAAGTGAGAGCAGCTCAGCGAAATGCTGTRAGCAAGAAAGCCCTTTTGGATCCCCCTCTACCAGAAGACATCACCAGGTAGGCTGGAGAGGGCTTTGAGTGGGGACACTGATGGCATGTGACTTTGAAGATGCTCTGTGAACTGTGAAGTTTTCTCGATCATTTCACATTGTCTTTGTCTGAACTCACCGTGGTTTGTGGAGCGGTGGGATAAGGCTGTTGAGCTGTGGCAGTTGGCATTTGGCTGTGCTGGTGCTGGGCTTTGGCATGGGATGAATCAGTGGTAACTAAGATACGTTGTGGGTGTGGGTTTAAGAYGCTTCTTTTCCTGGTCACAGCAGTAATGTCCCTTCTGCCTTTAGCTGGGATGTGTTTCACTTGCGGCTCGAAATGCTGCTTGAACTGCAATAATTAATTATGACAACATTTAAAATCAAGTCTGCATTACATGGGATCCATGACAAGGACCCATGCCCTAGTTAGAGCACAAGCAAGAAGGGCARTATCTCCAGTTGGTACTATCCTTGTGTGACCTTTTGGGTGTACATAGGTCTATGTGCCTTTTGTGAGTGTTAGTGCACAGGGCTATGTGACTGTGCATTCCCTTCTACAGGGTACAGCTGGGGAAAAGGTGTGGATAACAACTCAGTGAGGAGTTTTGGATATGCAGAATTTGTAGCAATTTGAATTTGAAATAAATTTCTGGGGCTATTTGCAGGAACACTTGGAGGCTCTCAGAAATGTCAGAGAAAATACACACTTCCAGTGTGTGAAATGTCCTGGCAGAAAGCTTAGCAGAAAATAAACCAAAACTTTCACCAACTTCCACCAGCTGGAGCTGTTACTGTAGCTGCCAGCCTACCTTTGTTCAGAAATTGCCTGCTGCTGTTTGATCTGTAGCACTGCTGGGGTTGAAAGACACAGTGAAAGAGAGCTCTTTAAGTTCTCAAAATGTATTATGTGTGAAAACATTCAAATATACACTTAATTTCAAACAAAACTGTTGAGAATGAGAGGTTTTTGCTGTTTGCAGACATGCCAAGAACTCTGSTCTCTCCTGCAATAGCTAACTCAATAACTTAGTCTGATTGGGGCTGTTCCAACTCCTATTAAAAGCAGTGGAAAACTGCTTTTAATCCACAGTGGAAGGTGGATTGGGCTCATTTGGTACCCTGTTGAAATTTGTGGTGATACACCAAAACAGAAAAAAGATAACAGCCTCAGACTGCAAATTCGTCGGGGCAGGGACTCTCTGTTTGTGTGTGTTGTATAGTGTTGAAGACATTTGTCGACACTTCAGAAATAATGAATAATGCCAGTGTGAGGAGGAAATCTCTCCACTCAACCCTAGGTGTTTCTGCTGCTAAGTGTTGAAAGAGAAACACAGAGCCCTGAACTTTGAAGACTTGGCAGGTGAGAAAAAGGAAAAATCTTTTCAGTTTCCATTTAAATTTAAGCTTAATCTGCATTTGTTGGGTCTGGTAGAAATATTTGAGCTTTTAATTTAATGTTGTTGGTTTTGGGAAAACTTCTTGGGATGCATGGCATGAAAACACCTTAGATATGAGGCAAGGTTTTGATTTAATTTCTTCTTTCATCTGTTTTCCATTACAAACCAGACTAATTGCYGTAAGATACTCTGTGGTAAAAAATACTASGGGAAGTGTGAATTTGGAAGCTCTYTCACTTTACAGTAACTATAAAAACAGTCAGCAAACAGGTTTCAAAATGATTTAGTATGGAAGGAAGCAAAGTCTGGTTGTCTTCATAGTAGCAGAATTTCACTGGCACTATCAAGTTTTCAAAGCTTTCAAATTCAGCCTATTCATATTTATGTAAAAGCTTCCTTGCACACTTGAGTTGCATTTATTCCTATTTTAGAGACTTGTAAAGTTGAAGCACGAGCTGACGTGGCCCTGGTATTTGAAGTGCCCATGTTAACTGTCCACAGTTCGCTGTTAATGGCTGATAGATAGGTGTGCTCATGACAGAAAACTGCTTGTTTAAAAAAAAAAAATCTTAAAAAGTAAGGGGGGCAGGCTCTAAGCAGTGCTTATGGAGGATACTGAAGGGACTGAAGGGATCCTTGGCATGGTTTTCCATTTGTGCTATAAATCTGGTCACTGAATGATCCCGCTTTTAAAACAACGCTCTAAAAAGCACTCTGTGAGTAGGCTGAAGCAGGGAAAGGCAAGGATATCTCCACTACCAAAGATAGTGTGTCAGGAGTTKATTGCCTTGGTGATACTTTTCTTCRGCTACAGACTTGTCACTATTTTTATTTTATTTCAGATAGTGTCTTAGGGGGTACTCAAAGGAATTTAAATTGCCATAATATGAAACTGGCATTAAATGTCTGCATCATCAAAACTAATATTTGGTTTGTATTTGTGTTGTATTTTCCTATTCTTTTTTTTTTTTTTTTTTTTTTTTTTTTTTTTTNTTTTTTTTTTTTTTTTTTTTTTTTTTTTTTTTTTTTTTTTTTTGTTAGAGAAATATTTGAAAAACTTTTGCACTGAAAAAGATGAAGTAACTACAAAACAAGAAATTTCTGAAGAACGCTATGTGTTGTGTTTTATCCAAGGATAGATTTGTAGGGAAAGTCTTCATAGGACTGTGGTAAGATATCATTATGCATTAATTTGGTAGTATGTGCCCTTAAGAAACTCTGGCTTGAAGTGTAAATGTCAATGATGTGTATTTGGTGTGGTGGTGAGCTGGGCCGTGGTCCTGCTCCCTCTCTCAGGCATTGCAGTAGATAGAATTGGTGACTGTGATGACAGAGACACAGCTGTGAGCCAGCTCAGTTTTCTCTTTGAGACAACTTGGGTCTACCTAGYTTTGCTTTCTGTTTTACAAAATCTATCTGCATCAGTGCTTAACAACACCCAGGACTTTCAACATGAAGAGAGCAATTAATTCTGGCTCCATTATTTCCATGAGAAATAGTGATTCTATACATATTTTAATGCAGTTAAGTCTCTTTTTGGGGATCATCCTATGGACACAGGGTCTTGTGCACTTTGTACTTATCAGCTCATGATACACCATTGTTCTGTATGTGTTGACATCGTTTGTGTAGCTGTTGAGAGAAGCAGGAAGGGAGCTGAAATGCTAAGTGAATTTCAAAGTCTTTATCATCATGTGGAAGAGGGACAGTTTTCACATGAAAAGYAACAGAATTGACAGGTCAGGATCTTGTGGTTTAGTACTTCTGAAACACCAAGTAAACAGCGAGCAAATAGTTACAGAGGTGAGGAGAAAAGGGGTSTCCCATTTTGCTGTTTTCAGGAATCCAGGCTTCCATGATCCCAATGGATGCTGCTGATTCTTTTAAAAAATCTTTTCCGCATTGTTTGTGTGGAAACATGCTGCTCCTTCTGCAGTCTCTGTGTGGCTGGTTGGTTTTAATATTTATGTGTTTAGAAAACCCAATTACTGATCCTTATGTAGTGGAAAGTTGGGTCTGAACTGTGAAGTGTGAAAACATGTGTGGGCATTTTCAAGATCTGGGATTCTGTAATTAGGGGATTTTGGTCTGGGCTTGTCTCTAACTGTAGCTGAGCAAAAACCTCCCCACTGTAAACTTCCTTTTGCAACAGAATACCAAAACCCCAAAGCACATACACCATAAAAAAACCTCTCCAGGTGACCTAATGAGTTGTCATCAGGAGGTGATTCTCCACCCGTAGAGAATCTTATACGAATCTTAAGCTCTGCCAGGAAAAAAAAAAAATTTCTGGTAGTATTTCCTATTTCTTGAAGGATGGAACCTCTCCTTTTACTGGATGTTACACCCTGTCTTTTCCCAAAAAACCAGTCCTTATACAAAAAGGACAATGCAGGTCTGGCAGTGAGCTACATCAGCTGAAGGAGTGAGTCCTTCCTATAGTGAATGTGTGATACTGCTGTACTGGAATGTGTAGAAGGAGCCAAGAAACAGTTATGGGAGAGTAAAATTGCAGTGTTTGTTCTGGAGACAGGCAAGAAGGAAAAAACACATACAAAGTGATCTATGTGTACATGTATATGACATAACAGAACGCTTTTTAGGCACATGACACATTTGATTACATTAAAAATCCTTTTGTTTCTTTTTTTCCCTTGCTTTTTATGTAGGATAGTGTTTTTGCTCTAGGGATGAAGGATGGAGATGGGATGTTGGATATTCAAGCCTTCTCCASACCTGAGCGAGCTGATCAGCTGCTTTTTCATTTGTGTCTAGGACAGCAAAATGAAAAAAACCCACCATAATTGGGGTTTTTTTCTGTATGAGATATAGGACTATCTTTGGGACAGGGAGCTCCAGTGACCTGACTAAGCCAGGCACTCTGAGGAAGAGATGAAGACTAGAACTGTGTAAACAAGATAAGTTTACACAGATAAACTAGAACAAGATAAATGGGCAAGGAAACTGATATTGCCACCTTTGCTTTTTTGCTCTCCAAGGTCCTCTTGCCTTGATTGTGAGGGATAAGTTATGCATTTCGTTGTCAGATCTTCATCCTCTGCCCTTCAGGGCCCATCCAGAACAGGGAAGTAGCTGGTCGCATCCCAAAGCCCTTTGGGTCTCCCTGAGAGCTACTGGTTACTAGTTTGAAATCCCCTGCTGATTGCAGKACCCTCATCTCCCTCCCAGAGATGGGAGCTTTGTTCTGTAATGCTCTCCCTGCTCTGAGTCCTTCTGGGGCTCCCCATGTTGGCACAGAGGTTGTGGCAAATTTGTTTGTTTCCACCCTCATGGGAAGAGCTGCTTGTAGTGATGATGATTTGCAAGTGTGGTGTTTTGTGGTTACATTATTGCTTCCACCTGCAATTGCTCTGGCACACGCAGTGTTTAATGGCATCCTTGGGTTAACTCCATGATGACAAATTTGCTGAGACTGCACAGACTGCTCAGTCCTCTGCTAAGAAGCTGAGTGGTCAGGATTGATTATAGACCTTAGTGGAGGGGTAGGGTTAAGATTACATTAGCCCTTGCTTTACCATGGAGTCAGTGACACCAGACATCCTCCAACGAAAAGCAATAGAAGCGTCTGTCCATGCCAAGCAGAGGCCATCATAGACATCTCCAGAGC